TAATATATTGAAGAGATGAGTGGCCATATGAAGGGCTTCGACCCAGTATTGGGGAGGTAAATTTGCTTGGAAAAGAAGAGTGCGAACGGTGTTGTTTAAGGTGCGGATGGTGCGTTCTGCGCGGCCATTTTGTTGGCTGGTGTGGGGACAGGAGAAACGAAAGAGAATCCCCAACGACTCAAAGAAGGTGGCGAGAGGGTTGTTGCGATATTCTGTGCCATTATCACACTGGACAGCTTTAATGGTGGTTTGGAATTGATTTTTGACCAGTGCATGAAATTTAATCAGGTGAGAATAGGCATCAGATTTGTGACGTAAAGGAAAAACCCATAAATAGTGCGAGAAATCATCAAGTAGGATCATATAAAATTTAAAGCCAGTCACACTAGGGACATGAGATTGCCATAAGTCCGTATGCATTAATTGAAAAGGAAACTAGGATACACGATTTGAAGAATAAAAATGTAGGCGAACATGTTTGCCTAATTGACATGCATGACAAAGAAATTCTAATTTTGATTTATTATTGCTATCTAAGAAAGAAGAGATGCCACGGAGCACAGCTGGGCTTGGATGGCCAAGTCGGCGGTGCCAGGTGGGGAGGTCGACTGTTGTGAGGTTTGCTTGAGCTGGGGGGGCTGAGGAGATCGGGTAAAGATGTCCGTCACTACTGGATCGATGAATCACGGCTCCCGTCAGTTTGTCCTTCACAGAGAAACCAGATGAGTCAAATTCAACTGAACAGTTGTTATCACGAGTAAATTGACGGAGAGAGATTAGGTTATGGATAATATGGGGTGAGACTAAGACATTATTAAGAGAAAGAGGGGGGTTTGTTTTGAGAAAACCGTTGCCAGTACCCGTTGTGCTAACTTTAGATCCATTGCCTACAATAATATGAGAAGGTGAATAAATGTTTGATGAAAATACATGAGATAAAGTACCTGGGTCAGCGGTGATGTGGTGGGAGGCGCTGATAAGTCCGTTTTGTACGCACTTATCTTCTCTATATTTAATGTGTTATTGTCTAATTTTGGATTAAACAAATCAATTTCTCAATGGTTTTTATATCTTTTATTTATAATTGCAAAAGTGTACAAAAGTTATGTCTTGTTGTAAAAAGAATAAAAATTGAGTCAAAAGTGGTACAAAAAGGTAAAAGATTGTGCAAATAGAATGCAACGGAGCAAAGAGATTTGTTCGGAATTTGAAGTCGGCACAGAAGGAAAAGTTGTTCAGAATAAAATTTTGAGCAAGACTGTATTTTTAGAAAATATTTCCGGACCGGATTAAAATCCGGCCAACCAGGTGCTGCCACGTGGCGCGACCTGGCTGGCCGGCCGATTGTGG